TCCAAGTCCGCCGTACGTGCCACCAACGCCACTTCCACCGCCATACGTGCCACCATACGTCCCGCCGACGCCGCCATACACTCCGCCCTACGTCCCGCCAACTCCACCATACACGCCGTCACCGCCCTACGTGCCACCGACACCGCCCTACGTGCCGCCGCCGTCGCCGGGGCCGGGGAGGAAGACGTGCCCGATCGACGCGCTGAAGCTGAACGCGTGCGTGGACGTGCTGAGCGGGCTGGTGCACCTGGTGATCGGGCGGGAGGCGCGGAGCAAGTGCTGCCCGCTGGTGCAGGGGGTGGCGGACCTGGACGCGGCGCTGTGCCTCTGCACCACCATCCGGGCGCGGGTGCTCAACATCAACATCTACCTCCCCGTGGCGCTCCGGCTGCTCATCACCTGCGGCAAGCACCCGCCCAACGGCTTCCAGTGCCCCACCGACCTCGACGCCTAGCCTGCGTGGCCGCTCGGCTCGCCATAGCTTTACTATACTAGTGTGTGGTGTGGATGCTACAGTACTTGCTTGCTCCAGTGCTGTGCGTCCCTGCGATTTGTGTATCTCGACCGGCCGATTTTCTTCTTCCCTGTGGTGTGGAGTACGAGTGTAGCAACTCCGTGTGGTTTCCGACCAAGTGTTGTTGAATAATTAGAGTAATTAACATGTGCTATTCACTGCCCCCTGTTTTTCATTGATGCATTTGATCTTCTTCCCTCGTTTTTTTTGTTGGGCGAAAGCGTAGTTTTGCGTGTGATGCAAGGGGTATATGGGCTTGTTGGGCTTTTCGGAATATTATGGGCCGGTACGATGGCGGACCGGAGCTGCTGCTTTGCCATCCCGGCCCATGCAATGCTCTGCTGAGGCCCACTTTGGTTCACATGATTGATTTCTGCAAAACCTCAAAGAAAAAACAAATTGATTTATGCATCGACTCATCCAAAGAGAGAGATAGAGAGATTGATTTCTGCGGGATTTTGGTATAAACGCTGTTCCTAAAAAATACAGTACTCCGTAATGAACAACTGAGACACAACAACACCCTCAGCTTTATACCATGCAAAAAAGACACCCTCAGCTTATTGCAGTATGATTTGGGAAGAAGCCCGAGGTGCACGCTGGCTGACTGTGTGTGGATAGGGAGGGTGAGATGCAATGTGAGCTCAAATAAAAATATCCATCCATGTGGGATAGGGATACACTCCTACACGTGATCTGAGGAGTGCGGCCTTTTTATTTAGTACTCCCTCCGTTTTTAAATACTTGTCTTTCTAGGCATTTCAACAAATGACTACATACGAAGTAAAATGAGTGAATCTACACTCTAAAATATGTCTATATACATCCGTATGTAGTAGTCATTTGAAATGTCTATAAAGACAAATATTTAGGAACGGAGGGAGTATAATAATAAGAAACTCAAACAAGACAAATGTACTCGTATATCTGCATGGGACGGCAAGATAAGGTAAATGCATATATTTGTGTTGTATCAAGCTCATGCTGTTTTTGAAATCACTATGACTCTTCACTGGATTGTACTCACGAACTAACACACACATATTGGCGTACATGTAAAACTAGACGTGACGCTTCCCGGTGGTTATTGCAAAACATTAGGACGCGGATAATTGTCACACGTGTAGCATGTAGTAACACCGTCCACACGTTTTTTACATTAAAATTGTCATCCAGAAAAAAGGATCTCAAAAAATTGAAACTTGCCAACCAAATAGAAAATTGTCATGCTTCACAATTAAAGTTGGGAACTAAAGTTGCGATCAAAAAACGTGTGGACGAAATTGCTTCGCCACACGTGTGAGTATTATCATTTGGAAAACATTATTGCAAACGGAGAAGTAGTGCATTATTGCAAACGGGGAAAGCAGTGGTGGATGAGATTGCAGCAACCTTTACGGGCATAGGTTGCTTCGTTGGTGTGCCTAGACAAGTAGTAAAACGTACTCCCTCCGTCCAATGAAGAGTGTACATCTAAAATTTTTAGGATAAATTATGGACTTGAGTAAAAAATGCATTGGAAAGGTGCAAGCCACCATTTATCTCCTTTTTAATTACTCAACCCCCTATGAGCCAAGTGCATGTAGAAATTAAAAAGACCATGTGTAGATTGCTATTGGTCTTGATTACAGTGTGATGAGAGAGAGGTATTTTTTCTCTACTTTAAAGTGCATTAGAAAGATAGAAGTACATTTTTTTGTGGACAAAATTTGAAGCTAGATGTCACCGGACGGAGGGAGTTCTATGGCGTCCTTGGTATCTTTGAGGTCTCATGTGTTGAGGCCATTACCACCTTTGATTCTCATAGTACTCCCTCTCTCTCTTAGTTTACAAAGCGCGCGCGTACCTTAGGTTGTCAATTTGATCAATCTAATACAAGTCATATATTACAAAAAATATATCAATATAAACTTCAGATGTTCTATTTTTAAACGGTATAATTTTCATGTTATATAGTTTATATTAGGATGATAAAATTGACAACCTAGATATATGCGCAGGATTTGTAAACTGAAACGGAGGGAGTATTATCATAGAATGACCACAAGGATCCGCTGGTCGGTTATGCATAAGGAACCAAAGGGCGTTACTACGTGTGTAACAAATAGATTTTGATTAGGTTGTAAAACTGACGTGGATTCATACGCCATGTTGATGCAGGATTTATCTTTCTGAGCTTCCCACGCCCCGCAAAGTACTCGGATACATAGGGGGAAGGGGACCTTGTTTTTGTCACTCTAGTTTCTGCCCACTTTATTTATGCCACTTTAGTTTTTTCATATTTCACTTTTGTCACTCTTGGCAATTGTGCATTGTCAAAAGCTAAGAGTGTCCCAAGTGAAATGAAATAGTTTTGCTTTTGCAACAAATAGCATTTGTGATACATCGTCAAAAGCCTAGAATGACAAAAATGAGATGTCAAATTCTAGAGTGGTATAAATAAAGTAGGCAAAAACTAGAGTGGTATAAACAAAGTGGGCAAAAACAAAGTTTTTTTTTCCTTTTTTTGAGCTAGTACCAGGTGCAAAGGCACTCCTCAAAACAGGCTCACGCCCCACTTTACAGATAAAGCACCGACCAAAATACACGGCCGAAAGATACATAGTGGAGAGGTGGTCCTCTTACAAAGCAGATTTTGAGATCTCGGTACGATGCAGACCTACGATACCGAAGAAGAACAAGGGGAGATCAGAGTGCAACGCCATGCCTTAGCACACCTAGGCTCCACGACGGCGCCCTCAAGAGGGAGAACGGCGCATAGCGTCGCCACTGCCGAGTCCGGAGTGGACAAGGGTCTTCACCCAGAGCCCGGACACAGAGAGGAGAACAAGGACAACATCTTCAAGAAGATAGTGGCACCCGCAGGCTTCGCCGTCATCGGTGCCAAAGCACGGAGCTTTCGCTCGGCAACTCACCCGTATCCCACGGTAAACCCAGGACAGACGCGACGAGCTTCGACTCCCAGATCCGGACCCGGGCACCGCTAACAAGGACACGGATCAATGAAATCAACGTCTGTCCCTAATGTGCCTGACCTCTTTGGATTGGAAAAGAGTCCATAGCCTCATCATGAGCATGTTAGTTTTCTTATGTTAAATAAATGCCATAAGTCCGAGTAGTTGAATCCATCTTCTCTAGAATCACGATAAAAAGTGAAAACCAACAGGCACCAGGACCAAAAAGTTGTCACGGTTTCCCTTCGCTGTATTTGAATCATGCACCCTTTATGCAGAGCTAGCCCTCCCATGTCGAGCATGGGCTCACCTCTAGTGTACACTCTATGTCCTGCAATGTAAGATATTCTTTGAAACTAGTAGGAAGTACCTTGCATGACATCATATCTGTAAAAGCATGGTAAGCATGCTTGGCATGCCTTCGGCTCGCTCCAGTGCATGTAGTCATCGCAAAGTGGCCTACGGACCTGGTTGTAATTTTTACTTCTGATGTTCTTTGTACTACCTTGACAGTTGATGAATAGATCGGAAATTTTCTCGCAAAAAAAAACGATAGCAAAAATCCTCTGTGCAGATGGGCCGGTTGTTGAAGAAATCAAGGGCATGCTCAAATCTTGTGATGACCACAAGATCAAATGGGTGAGGACCGAGGAGATCAGCAAATGGAAGCAATGCTAAGGTTTGTTTGATATTCCATCGGACTGTATTCAGCATGTCGTCGCATTGACAATTCCCGATGCCTTTTGAAAAATAGGACGGTTTTACCCCTAAGAAAAGGGAGCAAGAGAGGAGGGCGCCAATGGGCAGGGGTGAATGACAGACATTCTGGTACGAAGATATGAGGAACAAGTAACCTCTTCATGTCAAAAAGATAAATAAATACATTTAGCTAATCGCATTCGTATTAATGGTATACTTCAATAACCTTTATATGCAAATAGCTGGAATCAACCGAAAAAAATAAGCTATCATTTTTGGCAACTATATGTTTGCACAAAGGCACAAGTTTCTGCAGCCAAAATAAAAAAACTTGGAAAGCTTTTTGAAGCTGTTGATATGCTGACCATGCTAGAGTTATTCTTAGGGCATGTACAATGGTTGCATATGAATACAGATGCCTCATGACAAAAAGTAATTTGAAACATATGTGTTGATTTTTTCTCCCCAATGCAAGCTGCTACCAGTGGACCTCATCAAAGAATAGAAAGTGACTCTCACCACATATGCATCCCTCCTCTCCATTTCAACATTTTCAACTTTATGCACCGGACTAACTTTTTATCGTTAAGCACCCGTCTCATGAGGAGGATCCCGCTACCCCATCCGAACCTACCTTTTCTATTATCCGATCCTACATGGCATGTGAGGCATCATCCTGGGCTATGCATTGGCCATGCCCTTAGGCCAACTCCACCGCGCGACCTGATGACCCACAAGTATAGGGAATCTATCGTATTCCTTTCAATAAGTAAAAGTGTCGAACCCAACGAGGAGCAGAAGGAAATGATAAGCGGTTTCCAGCAAGGTATTCTCTGCAAGTACTGAAACAAGTGGTAACAGATAGTTTTGTGATAGGATAATTTGTAACGAGCAACAAGTAACAAAAGTAAATAAAGTGCAGCAAGGTGGCCCAATCCTTTTTGTAGCAAAGGACAAGCCTGGACAAACACTTATATAGAGAAAAGCGCTCCCGGGGACACAAGGAAATATCATCAAGCTAGTTTTCATCACACTCATATGATTCGCGTTCGGTACTTTGATAAGTTGGTATGTGGGTGGACCGGTGCTTGGGTACTGTCCTTACTTGGACAAGCATCCCACTTATGATTAACCTCTATTGCAAGCACCCGCAACTACAACATAAGTATTAAGGTAAACCTAACCATAGCATGAAACATATGGATCCAAATAAGCCCCTTACGAAGCAACACATAAACTAGGGTTTGAGCTTCTGTCACTCTAGTAACCCATCATCTACTTATTACT